AGGACAACAAACATGTACTCGAAAAGCCCCAGATTCAATCTTTTAAGCTTCAGTTGCCGCTGGCTTGTGTCACTAATTAAAAACTGCTCTTCCCTGGCATACAGAACACCCTTGTTCAGGGCTGGGGGTGCGGTGTGGTGGTGAGCATCCACCAGCACGCACAGGCCCTGGGTTCCTCAAACCAGAAGGAACCCGTTTGTTTTGGCAGGGTCCCACCAGGCCAGGGTGGCCAGGCAGCAGCCCCTCCTTTCAAGCCAGTGCAGGGAGTCTGTGAGCTCGGCCCCATGCTGGGGCCAGGGCGAGCTCCCTGCAAGTGTGCACCCCTGAGCAAGAACAGGGCACCCGCCCCAAACTCACAGCCCGGATACAGGCTCGAGCAAGCCAACACTTAGCCACTTAGCACCGGCATCTACTGCCCTGCCCGCCTTTCAGTGTTACAAATCTGAGAGGTCTGGACTCCACAAGGTCATCCTTCACAGCATCACTGATAGAACTACCTCCAGGCCCAGACAGAGGGGCTGCCTGGGAGGTGGTGGAGTACTATGCAGCTGTGAACTGGGGCCAGGAGCTAGCCGGCATATTTCACCACATACCACCAAACGAAGCACCGAGTGCAGGGGAGAAAAGCAGGCTGCCTCACCACATGAGCAAGAGGGGGAGCAGCGCATTCAAACATCGGCTCTAGTCACCAAAAGAAACTCAGAGGATGCAGCCATGGGCGGGATGGAGTCAACAAGTATTCAGAAGCACGTAAAATGTGCAGTGTTTAAAAAATTAAATTAAATCAACAAAGATGGGGAAAGTCTAAACTCAACACAAGCAGACGCGAACAAATAACACGATCCTGGAAGGGGAAACGGGAGTCACAAAGGAACTAGGTACGCCTGGACTAATACACCCTGGGGTGCAAGGAAAAGTGCTAACTGCAAACAATGCTGAGCTCTCTGCTGTTGGGCAGAACTCCGTGGGCACAGAGATTCAGAAACGTGCTGCTTGAGAAGGACACAGGCAGGGGTGTGGCACTGGGCACAGTTTCACTGTGGGGCAGAGATGCAAACAGGGATGGGAGGTGCTAGGCCTCCTGGGTCCCAGCCCCTCCACACAGAGGCCTGCGACAGACAGTGCCAGCTATATTCTGAGGCCGTGCAGTCTGGTATCACCATCACCACCACCACCACCACCACCACCCATGGGTGGCCAGTGACCATGAAATGCAGCTGGTGCAACTGAGGACACGGATTCCTAATTCTGTCTCATCTAATTTCTTATTTGGCAGTACCAGGGTTGGAATCCAAGGCCTGGTGCTCACCACTGCACTGCACCCCAGCCAGGCTGTGCTCGGGCAGGATTCAAATGTAAATCCCACAGCAGGCTCCCAAGCACAGGGGCAAACCCAAGTCCAGCAGCAGCAATGGTGCAACGACAGGAAAGTACCAGACAACACTACACAGCCACAGCAGCTCCCCGAGGAAGGGCCCAGGGCTCCCGGGCACATGGCTACTCCTCAGCCGGGCAGAGGGATAGAGAGGGTGAGCTCATGACATCCAGTTGCCACCGAACAAAAACATGGTCAAAGAACAACCATGGGGAAAGAATGAGAACCAAGATCTGCCATGTAAAGGTCCAAGATCCCAATGATGAATGTAACTGTGCTGTATACCTAAAATGTACCAATAAACTCAATGAGGAAAAAACAAAACAAAACAAAACAAAACAAAAACACCACCAAACAGCAAGAGTGGGACAAGGGTACAAGAGCCAGTGAAGAGCACAGCCCTTGGATAGAGCAAGGAACCCTGCAAACGCGGAAGAGCAGTCACCCCATGAGCAGGGCCATAACAAAAGAGCGCCTCTTGGACATTTCCAGAAAGGAACCCCGCTCCTGCCCACCCGTGAGCACTCCCTTTCCCAGTGACAGGCGAAGGACTGCCAACTCCCACATACACGCTGATCTTGACACCTGACTCAAGATACACATCTCTCCACATCACCCCATTAGTAAAAACATTAAAACAGGGCCAGGTATTTGGCTCAATGGTTCTGTCACCTGCCTTCCAAGCACAAGGCCCCAAGTTCAATCCCTGGTACCAAAAACAAAACAAACAAAACAACCCTAGTTCAAGTGACCCAGGATGTGAGGGGCAGTGCCCCAGGAGAGGCCCCTGTAGGAGCTGGAGAATTGCTTTCCGCTCCACGCCCACGCTGAGTCCGCACTTGGCTCTGTCCCCATCTGCACACAAGCGGGACAAAGGACACCACCAAAACCTGCAGCTTTGAGCTCCTCTTCGCCAGCTGCTGAAACTATGGCTCAACAACATCCCTGCCCCAGAACCACAGCGACTTCTCTTGTGAGAAATAAACAACCCATTTTCACTGCACCTCTTGAGCAAATCTTCATTTTCTCCTTCTAGGGACAAAGGCGGTAGGGCTATTCTTGTCCCCATCACTATGAGCCCATAACATACTACAAAAAACTTATTCGACGTTGGAAACAAAAAGGGGAGAGCCGCTAAAGCTCGAGCAGGGAACACATCAGCACTCCAAGTTCTGGGCTCCCTAAAACGCGAGTGAGCAGGGCACACCATGTCTGTCACTAGGGTCCTAGGAAAGAGCAGACACTGCCAATGCCACCGACGCTATTACAGACAGCTGAGTTAAGTAGAAATATTACAGGCAGGCAGACAGGGCTAGGCCCTGAGAGGTCAGCAAAGAGCATGAGAACACTTTACAACTGTGGGTGCAGGCGCACTTTTGAAGGCCAGGCCTCAAGACAGAGATGCAATGAGCACACCTACTTCCCCAGGGGTCTACACCGGCATGGTCACCTGGGTGGGCGACCAAGACCTCAGCCCACCCCCCACCCCGCAGACAGGGCCTGTTCTGCCCATGCACACCTGCTTCACGACTGGCCTCCCGCTGGATCACTGTTACCTAAGCAGCGATCCCTGTAACCTTACTGTTTGGCCATAGTTTTGTCCCACCTTACGCCCACCTGTCCATGTCCCCTTCTGTCTCTCTTAGATAGAAGCTATCTTTCCCTCAAATATTTCCTGCTCTGAACCTCCACTGTTCCTAGAATTCATTCTTTGATTTTGGAGAACATGAACCCAGTATATCAGGTATCCAGTAGGTTGGGAATTATAGTATTTCCCGTATATTACCTGGAGATCCACATATCATCCCTGTATCATTTTAATCTGTATCACACAACCAACAAGGGGCACCATAGCAAACCGCACACCAATCACTTCCCTACCTCACAGTTCAAAAACTCTCCCAAGCTCCACACTTTAAAATGGTTACAGTGAGCTAGGCGTGGTGGTGCACACCTGTAATCCCTGCACTCGGGAGGCTGAGGCAGGAAGATCACACGTTCAAGCCCAGCCTAGGCAGCTTAGTGACTTGGCAAGATCTTGTCTCAAAAACTAAAAAGGGTTGGGGATGGAGCTCAATGTGAAGGCTCTGCATTCAACCCTGGTAACATAACATTAAAAAAAAAAGGTTCTGATGACACATTGTCATGTGTGTCTTACCATGATAAAAAACGGGAAAACTCCCTTGCTGACAGGAGCTGAACGTGGGTGCCACCACTGTACACCCCGAAACTCTGCCCGGGAATGGTGAGTAGGCACGGTGTGCAAAACCTAACAATCCCATCAACAGCATCTGCAGTGCCGTGGGAGACCTGGGCTTCCTGTCCTCTAGAACCACCGAAGGGCCACCACCACGCCAGGGGCCAGCCATCCTGGCAGCATGGAGTGGCCGGTGTGGCGCACAGTGGGGACAGCAAGGCGAGGACACCTGACCAAAATTCACACTGCTAGGCTCCCCTCCCCCTTCCTTCCAAAATAAACAAAAAGACTCTGGGCTTAGGAGACAGGGAGGGCAGGGAGTACGAAATCCTCAGGAATAAAAGAAGGAACTCCAGAGGGCCACCAGGCTTGCGAGAGCTCATTGTTCTGCAGGCAGCCGGATTCCTGATGGAGCAGATTCCAGGGCTGCAGGCTGCAGGCTGCAGGCTGCGCCTCTGACTAACACTGCCGTGATTTATCTGAGGATAAATACCTCCGTCAGTGTCTCATGACTACACACCAGGGTCAGGCAGATTGGAACGCACGGAATGTGAGGACTGCGCTGCCGCCAGCTGCCTGCAGAGCCTCCGCCTCCAGGCAGGGCCAGAGTGCACCTTCCTGCAGAGCTGGCACACAGCACCCTCAGGATTGGACGGAAACGGACAGGACAGGCTGGGCAGGTACCGGCACGCATCCTCCTATCTGTGCTTGGGGTGCGAGCTCAGGCGGGGACAGGGACAAGCCCTTTCCAGCAGGACACACAAGGCCATGGCTCCCATAATCGAGAACCCACGGGAAGGCCGTGCTGGGGTCCAAAGGGGCAGTGCTCCAACAGAAGCAAACCCCGCCACCCACACGCAGAGACCGTGGCTTCACAACAGGAAACTGAGCCCCCGAGAGTGGAAGAGGCTTGAGCCAAGGTGGCAGCTCATGTCGGTGGCCGACTGAGGACACAAGTCCCAGTCTCCTGGCACTAAGATGGGCTCTGCAAGTCTGGTCATGGGCTCAGTCCGCGGGGATGTGCCACCCAACCATGACACAGCCTGCGGCTCCGTTTCATGAGGGCCCAGGTCTGCCCTTGAGGCACTGGGAAGAAAGAGCTCACACAATATGCAGACCCACGTCCCTAGGTTACAAGGCCACCGCAGCCTGCGCATCCACCTCCAGCTTGGGGACACACAGGCAGGACAACCACCTCCAGGAGCCCATGGGCAACGTCACTCACAGGAGGCGCACAGAGTGCTCCCATCCCCACCCCCATGGGCTGGGAGAAGGAAGAGTTCCCGTCTCCAAGGGCTGTAAACGTCCAGGGAGCCCCTCCCGGGCCTCAGACCACAGCCTGACATCAGTAGCTCCGCAGATGGATGACAACTTCGGCATAGGCACAAGATGCAGGGACACCAGTCTCCGAGCAAAGTGGGGACTTACAGGTGGGGGCTAAAGATGCGGCCCATCTTGGCGACGTGGTCAGCTTCACAGTCGAGGCCCTCGTCCCCCGGCTCCAGGCTGAACTTTCTCTTGCTGGGGCTGATGGGGGGAGGGCCGGTGCGGTGGCTGCTCAGGGCAGAGGTCACCGGGAGGGTCTGCATCCTGGGTTCTCCCCTGAGAGCAGCTTCACCTATGCAAAGAGAGGAAGCTGTGGTCAGCAGGCGGGACAAGTGGCCCCATCCCGGTCCCCGGCTCCCTGCCCTCCCGGGCCATTGCAAAACTACTCCCAGTGGAAAGTTTTCCGCAGCGGCATGGGTGCCTGCCAAGCTCGGAATATGGTCTGGGGCACGTCACTGGCAGGCAACAGTGACATCAACGTGGCCTTCAAGCCCAGTACCTCTTTAGGGCAGAGTTTAAGACGAAAAGTTGCAACAGAATAGCAGAGGGAAGAAAACCCGTACTTGCTGTGACAGTCTTGAGAAGTTAATTTAAAATGTGAAAGGCTTCCCCAGGGTAGACTGGAACCCTTTGCCCTGCACCTGGGCCTCCCTGGCTTTCCTGTGTGCTGTTTTTATCACATTATTTTCTTTCTTTAAAAATGAGGAAAATGTATGGGCTAACAGTTCACATTTGCTTCTGAAGTTAAAAGGAGTAAGAACATACTGTTTAATGAGAAGTAAACATTTTTTAATTTTTTATTTATGTTGTACAGGGCTTGAGCTCAGGACCTTGCACTTGCGAGGCAGGCCACAGCACCACTGAGCTACAGCCCCAGCCCAACATTTTATTCTTATTAAAATGGTATGTAAACAGTATCAGCACAAAAGTTTCAACACACAATTTGTCGCAGCATAATACAAAGGTGCGGTTCTCAAAACATGTTTCAAAGGTGGACCCTCAACTTAGGGTTTTGCTTTGGTAGGTTTTTTTTTGGCTTTTAAAACAGGCTCACTATATGGCCCAAGATGGTCAGGAACTCTGGACCCTCTGATCCTCCTGCCTCAGCTTCCCAAGTGCTGAGATTACAGGGCTATAACAACAGGCTCAACTAGAGTTTTAATTTTGATCCAATCCAATCTTTAATATTTTTTCATTAAAACATTTTGTACAGGGCCAGGGATTTAGCTCAGTGGTGCTGCCACCTGCTTCACAAGCACAATGCCCCGAGTTTGATTCCCGGTACCGAAGAAAAGAAAACACTTCGTACAAGTTCATAACTTTGTACCTCATTAGGAATGAAATTTAGCATGAGCTGTCTTAATAATAAAGGTTTGTATCATCTAAATTCACAAACAAGTCATAATTACCTCAAGAAAAAGTCCTGTAAGGCAGCCCCTCCATTTCCCACAAATAAAAACCCTCTGCTTATTTGGTTCACGCCCTCTGAGCCCTGACCACTCTGCGCCTTGGCCACAGCCTGGCCCAAGTCAGGAGGAAGCCAACCTCCCCATGGCTCTGGGGCCGAGAAAAGAAACCTTTGTCTGCTGCACAGACTTGCATGCCATCACAGGTTGCGGACAGTTATTAACAGTCATTTACTTCATGCACATATAACAAATGAGATTTTATTAGGCCAAGGAGGGAGGGCAAGGCTTCTGAGTATTTACCAGGAAAAAACACAAATTTTGCCAATTTAGTCAGCAAGATATAAACTTGCAAATATACACTGACCCACAACACACCTCCAGGCTGGGTTTCTTTTAAGGATTCTGGCCCCAAAGGAAACTGGAACTTTCCATTTTAAATGAAATACCTAAAGCATAAACCCAATGCCAGCCAGCTCACGATAAGGTAAGGTTCCAGGCAGGCCTCTACTTCTTCTATAGTGACTTTTGACTCTAAAAAACAAAGCAGTGCTGATCTCTGTACCTTGATAAATTAGAAATTATTCGTGATAAATATATTATTTTATAATAAAATAATTTTAGAATAAACGGGGCATGGTACACATGCCTATGATCCCAGCACTTGGGAGGCTGAGGCAGGAGGATCAGAAGCTTGAGCCCAGCCTGGTAACTTAGCAACTTAGCAAGACTTTGTGTCAATATTAAACAAAAAGGGGCTGGAGATATGGCTCAGTGAGAAAGGCCTGGGGTTCAATCCCCGGTACTGAATTGCTGCTACACAGAAAGAAGAGAATCCACAGGAGTCTGCAGAAAACAGAGAGGGCAGACCCTCCGGACTGGGGGCCGGGGCCGCCCCCCAACTGGGCTTTGCCTCTCCAAGTGCCACCGAATCACAGCAAGTGAGGGACCCACAAACCACCCAGCACCTGCCAAGAAACCCTCGCTGTGTCATCTGCCACACTCACGGGGGACCGAGAGCAAAGACCCGGAGGTGGGCCCAAGGCTAGTGAGTCTGGACACCATGACACGAAGCAGCTTCCATGGGAGTCTCCACCACCGGCCTCCCAGCCTCCTGACGCCTGTCGGTCTCAGGACAGAAACCCAGCAGGCAGTTCCCAGAGGGACCTCCACGACTGCGCTGTTTGTTCCCCACTCTGCCCCGCAGCTGACCCCCACATGCCCCTTTTGGAGACCTCAAATTTCAGCCCTAAAAGTTAAGCTACATCAGGGCAGTGGCGGTGAACACGCATCACTGAAAGCTCAAAGGTTCCCCATCTGATGCCCCCTTTCCCACAGGAGGGGGCAGCTTATTCCTGGGTGTCCCCAAGGGTACAGGGTCAACGCCCCCACACTGTCTCCAGTCACAATGCATCAAGGGCACCAAAGGTAACGAGGTGGGCTGGGTGGGTTACTTCCCTTTAGGTTTCCTTAGAAGTCATGCCTGTAACCCCAGAACTCAGGAGGCTGAGACAGGAGGATCACCACAGAATGAGACCCTGATTCAAAGAAAAAATTTTTTAAAGTCAAAGATGGTTTAGAATAAGGAATTTTCAAAGTTCTATTTAAGAAAATATTTATAAGAAAAACTCACAAATGAGACAGAAAAAACCCAATGTAAAGGTCAGAAGGGACCTGAGTAGACGTTTCTTCAAAGACGTGCAAATGGCAGCAAGATATGAGAAGGATCCTACATCATCGGCCAGCCGAAGACCCAGCAGGTCCCTCGTGTCGCACCCACCAGGACAAAGAACCAAAACTGGCAAGGAAGTGCAGCAGCAAGAACCCTAGCACCTTCCTGGTGCAAACAGAAAGTGGTACAGCCAGGACGGGAACACTCGGCAGTTCTGCGAGGGTCCAGCTTGCGATCCTGCTCCTTGGCACACAAGCGCTCGCTCGTGGCAGCACCACTCAGGGCACCCGTGAAGCAACCACAGAGGATGCAGAAATACGTCCCTGAGCGAGGGAGCCTCATCCCTCAGCCCCACAACAGCATGCCATGGCATGGGTGGAAGGAAACCCAGGACGGTGAGAGACAACGGGCCACGGACTGCAGCAAGTCCACAAGAGGCAAATCCACCCCAACAGGCAGCAACCCACCTGCTGTGGGCTGGAGGCGAACAGGAAGTGACAGCCAGGGGGGCGCTGGGTTCTTCTGGCCTCAGTGAAAAAGTTCTGCAATTGGTCCGACCAAAGACACAGCTCCACTCTGCAAATCACACCAGTGGGGCCTCTAGTGGGTGAATTACAGACTGCCTGAGCCCTCTCCGTAAGGGTGTCAGCTGCCTCCCCAATAAGACTGTACTGACAAGGAGATGAGCACAGACCCTGTATTATTATAGCCTTCTCTCTCAGATTTTTCACACATAACTTAAATAAGAACACGCTGTAATCCCAGCACTTGGGAGGCTGAGGCAGGAGGATCACTGTGAGTTCAAGACCAGCCTGGGCTACATAGTGAGTTCCAGGTCAGTCTCAACTATATAGTGAGACCCTGTCTCAAAACATACACACACACACACACACACAGAACACGCATCCTTGAGTTTACTCTGAAACAAACACAAACCTTTCGTTGTTGCAGTTACAGCTCTCTATCAAGGTGGACAGTTTTTTAACCCTTAGGTACTAACACAGATGTCAAATCAGAGAGCCTCTGAGGGTGCTTGGGACTCAGACTCCCCATTCCTGTGTGTGTACTGAGTCCCTCTCACAGGCCGAGGCCAGGAAGGAAAGCAGAGCAAGCAACCTGTCCAGCCAGGACCCGGGAGGAAGGGAGAGAGGGCACCAGAAGAGCTCACGGGGCAGGGGTCTTGTGACAATATGTATTCTGACCTCACAATGGCTCAGTAATTTAAAAGGAGAAGGGATTCTCTTTTTCAGTTATAAACAGAAAGATTTGAGCTGAATCATCCAGTGTATTTTAAGTTCCTCAAGTTGGTTTAACTAGAATTGTGTTTAACCTTTTTTTTAACTCACAGTTAAAACCAAGTAAGTTCCATTTTAAAAATGTATCTGGCCTTTTAATTTTAATTTTTTTTGAAGTATCACAGTTGAACCCAGGGCCTCTGAACTACATCCTCAGCCCTCTTTTAAGTTTAATTTTCACTCATTCATTTCTTGAAAGCCCTTGGCTAAGTCATTTGAGTTACTTGGGCTGGGCTCCAACTTGCCATCCTCCTGCCTCAGCCTACCAGAATTCTGGGATTATAGGTGTGCACCACTATGCCCAGCTTGGCCCTCTAATAATCTTATAAAGGCATGTATTACTGGAAGAAAAATGTCTGATATATACCAAAATTATTTGTTATCTGCTGGTATTAGTCATGGAGGCATTAAGTCAACAATCTTCCTCACAAACATGCTGCTCAAAGATTCACAAGAGTCATCACAGGGCTGGGGATTTAGCTCAGTAGTTCTGTTGCCTGCCTCGCAAGTGCAAGGGCCTGAGTTCGATCCCCAGTACAAAAAAAACAAAAAGGGAAAAAATGAGAACCAAGACCTGGCATGTAAAGGTACAAGATCCCAGTAATGAATGTACCTGGACTAACTAGAATGTACCAATAAATTCAATTTAAATTAAAAAAGGGGGGGGTCATCATCCATTTATTCCAATGAAAGAGTTTACTAGAAAGGGGGGAAAAGCCGCCCAGCTTTCTGATGCATTAACAATGCTGGTGAAGTAGCACAAGAGAATCCCTCCCTCCAAGCCAGCACAGAGGAGGGCAGGACAACCCCAACAAGGGTCCAAACCCTCACCTCTACCTCGCTGGCCTGACCGGACTGAAGTGCCCTAGCGATCAAGTGACAAGATTAAAGGCCAGGGTTGTTTCTTTCTTTGTGGACA